TTAATTATAATATTACGTAACTTATTTTATTTTGTATAGTCTTTGGAGTTGTTTACCGTTGCAATGTTTTGCGCAATATTTACGACCTACTTGTTTTGGCTGAATGTTCAAGGAGCCTTTTGTTTTAAGTTTTGTTTTGTGATTGTATGGAAAAAAAATATTCGAACGGATAAAAATACAATTTTGTATCAATGTCACAATTTTGTTTACATCCTAATCATATTTATTTATATCAATAGTTCCACTTATTTTTACCACAATTTAAATAAAAAATCCATTGTATTCGATATAATTTTATTTGAAATGTATGAATAAAAATTACATCCGTGATGCAATACCCTTATCTATCACTACGTTTTTTTAAAAAGTTTCACGCGACATCAAACGTGTTTCTTTTTGTACATGTGTCTAAATAACTTATCTAGAATTGAAATTGCTTAATCGTCGACGTGTCACTTTTCTGGGAAAAACGCCAATCTCACTGTTTGTATTTATATGTATAGTCATATATGTATGTTACTAACCGTAAGATTGTACCTGTAGTAAATCATTTAATAAGTATTTAAGATTTTAAAACGATTATATAAAATAAAATTATTATTTATCATACTAAAATTGCGTATACGAAATAAATATTAAAAAAACTGCACACGGAAGGCTAGTCACATTCATGTTTATAAATATAACTTCTAGAACAATAATAAAGGTCGTAGTAAAACAAAAAAAACAACAAAATTTTCCACCACACTGCCCTACATGATCACGTAAGTAATGGACCATGAATTAAACACATAATTTGTCACATTCCGGACTATAATTAAATTCAACGGCCGCCCATTTTAACAAGGATGATAGTGTTAATATTATAATGCGGGTCGTATCGTATTTTAATATAATTTCCATTAACAATCATGAAGATTGTAAACATATTAACTAAAATAAAATAAGGTTAGGTCGTTGATTATTATAACCTGCATCAGTCAAAGCATTTCGTTGCAACATTTTGAATTATAAAGGAATCAGTAAAAAAAAGTAATAATTCCAAAGTATTTAACATTAAACATTCGAAGCTACAGTATGTTCAAGTTAACAAACTGTTTTTTTACACTTTTTTCGTTTTAAAAATTAAAAAAAGCGTTTGGAATGTGTGGTAATATTCAATTAATTCTTGGTCCGGCTGTTAGCTGTTAGCACGGCAGTCACGTGCGAATCGCTGACCGTTCAGTATGCGTTACCCTGTCTGACCAACATTTATACTCTGTGGCAATCGATGTGCATGCACAATAGCCGTGAAGAATTCTAACATATTCATCCTTCTATATTTAACAAAGTTTTTGCAAACATGCTATTTTAGTAATGTTCATAGTTATTCATTCTAAAATTAGCAAATAAAATATTAGGTTTATCCGTCTTTTGAAAGTTGTCACGCCCGCATTCTGTAGTTCATTGAGAAATCTTTTTTAATCATTTTAAACCACAAATTTTAGCTTTCCTTTAGTACTATCTAGCCTGTGAAAACTTGCCATTATGAGCACTTTATACTGATTATAAGTTTATTAGGTAGCCTTAACTGACTAGATAGAAGTTTGTCAAGGTCGCTGTATGAAAGTGAAAGTTAAAATTGCTATGCACGAGAACATATTGCCCTAGGTCATGTTTGTTTTGAATATTTACTTGTTGATCCTATCGAGTCTATTCTTAGACGTTTGTCCTATTTTCATCAATTATGACATGGTCACCCTAGCAACGCTGGATTGTGACCGGGACAATAGTCATTCACTACTTAACTGTGCAATGGAAAATTCCATTTAAGACAAGTTTAAATTTATACGAATATGCTTTTATCTAGTCGTCAAATATTGCAAACTGAATGCCTACAGACATCAATAATAGTGTAAGTTAAAATGTTGCAGATGTTATCTATGTTTAAGGCACAGAGAAGCGCAGAAAAAGGAAACCCCTTTTCATATACACCTGTACCTAGCCAAATCTACTTTCCCTTTTCATCCTGTATTTATTAGAAAAGAATGGAAACTAAACGAGTAATAGGATCAGTCTCCATCACACACAATCATCAGATTTAACGCGGAATTACATCCACTTGACGCGAGTTTTTTTGAGTGGTAATGATTGCAAAAGTCGAGCAAGCCATTCGTCTAGCAGCTAATGCTGCTGCGGACCCTATAATTGTTAAACGGTCATTTACGAATAGAACGAATATATTTTTTTAAAAAGGTCTTTTATTGTATTTGTTTATCGATGTAACATTTTTGCATCGTAAGAACATTTGGATGCACGTGTTACCTTCTGCAATCCTCTGTCTCGCTTTCACGCGTGCGCACCTTATCCCTGTCTCTGTCTCGAGTACTCGCATGTAATGATTAAGACAACGCGAGCGTTGAATAATACCGAATCGTAAGTTCATCGCCAGTTTGCAAACGCAAATCAAATTTTATATAAATTTATTTTCGATGTAGTCTTTTAATTAGTTTTTAAACAACATAAATTAACAACGTAATGTGTCGTAAATGACAAAACTGATCAATTTTACCCCAACAAAAGTCTTTCGGATGACAAAAAGTGACTTCACTTTAATTTTTGCTCCCATAAAATAGGAATAAGTATCAATCCAAAAGCTTAAAGCAAAAATCGTTAATATTGAACAATTCTTTCAATAGCGTACATAATAAAAATCTGGTAAATTTCCACAGACAAATCGCTAACAAGAAAAAACTGTCTGCAGTGTAGGAGCGGACGAGCCGGTCAGGCGATACGCACACGTGAGGCTTGCGGGTGAGTGTGCGTGCGGCGTGCACACGCGGGTGCGGCTGTGTGCACGGCACGTTGCGGCCGATGTGCGGCGCCCGCCCCGCACGCCCCGCGCATACTCCCGCAAGTCACGTGTTTCACAGGCTATTTTCGCTGTGCTTTCGCCGCGCCATTTTGCACAAAATATTCTAGCGTGAATATTTTTCTAAACAAGTTCAATACGTAGGTACTTGAAGTACATGACCTCAAGTAGAATAACGCATTAATTTAGAAAAATACTAAACTGTATTATATTTGTTCTATTGTTCCAAGTTAGTGATGAGCCGAATAACCTGATATCCACAGTAAAAAAAGATCCGGAACCATATCCGTGAAATTTTCATGGAACTAACTTGTACATGTACATTTTATTATATATGTAAAAAAGTTATGTCTAGTTAGATTCGATTTTGTTTTTCACTATTTAGAATATATATTTCTACGACCACTACAGTTATCTTGTGCCGATATATCCCTTGTGACTCCTCACTCGTCAAAATCGGTTCCGTCGTGTAGGCTAAACCGTCACAATGGAATTTACATATACACAATACACATACATAACAAAAGCGAACTTCCAAATGCGCAAAAAAACATTACGCTCTTTTTCAATTGGATAATAAAATTGTGTAGTTTTACAACATCTTACTGATATTATTAATTAGAAGGAGAAGAGAAACTCATCTCCAGAATCCTAGCACTAATTCCCTATATGTGGTTACACATCCTTTAGTAAGGGTCCTGACCGGCTTAGTAAGAAGTTAACTATGGTTACACTTGAACAAGCTAACAGAGGAAGGGCCCTTATTTAATCTAATCGCTACAAAAACCGCGAAATAATATCACGATTTAAACATTAATTACGTTTGGAGCACGCTGTATGTATGCATTTATTTTTGGTGTCCGATTTGTGATGCAGCACGTATCCAGTGGAAATTAATAACGCGCAAAAGCAACACACGTAATTAAAAGGAATTATCTCGGCCGGTTACAACCGCTATACTTCGACGAAACAAATATGTACGGAGGGATAAACAAGCTTCTTGTGTAAACACGTATTTCATTTGTTCAATATGTATACCTATTTGCAAAAACTACTAACAATTAAAGTACAAGACTATCTTGTTTTATAAAGGGATAACATTTAAAACATTTTTAAAAGTAAGTGTAAAAGGTCAGAGGGCCTCATCAATGTCTAACTTGAGCAATATGTGAATTAAATGGAAACGCTATATTTGTATTTGTCCAGAGCAGTTGAGAACGTATCCCTACGGATAATACGAATGTCATCACATAACATCACAATTCTGACGTAAAATGGATAAAGATTTTTAACATGACAGTGAAAGTACGTTACCGTATTACGAAATTATGAGCGAGTATCCGTGAGGAAAACTGTACTGACTAGTTCATGGTTTCTTCATTTGTTATGAGATTATAAGGTCACTCTCCTTAAAAGTTTTAGTTACATTCGAATAAAACACGATTACGCTTCAATGAGTCAGTCATTTGTTTATCTCTTTAGTTTTCGATATTAGTACGAAGTTTTCAAACCAATCCTCAATGTGTCTTTGTCTCTGTACGTACCTATTTTAACAACTGATACATGCAGAAATATCGATAACGTACAATGGTGTTCCGAACATTCCTACCAATTTTCAGGTCTATATGAATTATTGTAACTTCGTCATATCTTCACCGGCCTATTGTTTTAACCTACTCAATGAACATAATTTAAACATTTTGGATTGGTCTTAAAGTGCCTTTTCACTGCCGAGGCATCGGTTTTTTGTATTCCCTTTTTAAAAAACAACAAAAAACCATATTTAATGCCCGTGCTTCGTCAGTGGAAATTCGCGGTTACCAGATTAATTTATAAGAAACTTTTAGGAATCACAGTGACCTTTTTAGTTAAAGGTCACCAACATTCTTTTTGTATTCATCACAAACGCAATGACCACAACAGCATTTATGTGCCCTTATGTAAAACAATATCCGTAAACTATTCACAATGCTCTTAGTAACCCGGTTTGCCTCGTAATAACAAAAACAATAATAAACAACTCCATCACAAAATTTTCCAGTCTCGTGGCACCTAGGTATATTTAAAAGAATTGTTAAATCGCACAAGATAATTAACATGTAGGTATTTAACACAGATTAAATCAATTAAATAAATAAAAACAACTAACTTGTCATACTTGACATGTCCGTTTTCCTCCCAATAATGACGAGTTTCCATATTCAAAATTATCTCACAATTATAACAAGGAATCACAATATCACCACAAACACGTAACACTGTCACATTTTCATCCTTTGGCACAATTAACACAATTTTAAGTCACCGTGATTCATTCTTATGTGAATGTAATTAAATATAGTATCGCGTATTTACGAATAAACTTGACACATCGACGTCGTCACTGTGAAACATTCGCTTCGCGTCTGACGGAGAGTTTGGGCGAGCGAGCACCGGCCGGCCGCGTCATGTGACCGCGCCGCGCCGTCAAAATAAGGCACGGGTGCCGGAATGTGCGCGTTGCGTAGGGTTACCCTACTCACGATTTAACCTCCTTTTACTTAAGTCTTTTTGTCTTAAGAAATATTTTTTAAATCAACATCATCAGTTTATTTATTTTTTTTTCAAATTAAAGTATCTTTCCCAAAAAATTGCAAATTTCTGTCAATTAAGTTTGATATTAAAAATAAAATCTTATTAACTAATTTTTCCACAGTTTTCAACCCTAGTTTTCCAGTCCACATTAAAAGCCACGTGACGTGAACACACGAAATTACTTATTTTATTTTTATAGCATTTCAAAGCTATACTAAACTAATTAAATAAAATTATTCTGCTAACCGGTCTCGGCTTATTTTTATTCCTATTTATAGAACCTACTTACCTCCTTGATTATTAACACTCCAGTAGGAAAATTAATTATTTAAGGAGTTCCTTCATCTCCATATACTTAAGTGTGTAATGAGGCAAAAATCCCGGGCCCAGCCATTTTGGGAAATGACTAAGTTGGTTTACTGTATGAACAAAGCAATAAATAAATAAATAACAAGTTTCTCTAATATGTCTGAAGTAAATAAAGTAATTATAACTATGTCATAAGTTATCATTTGACCAAAGCATGTTTCCTTCAATTAAAACCAGGATCTATAATACGTCTAATCATAAAAAATGTAGTGATAACAATAAATTTCACATTTTCATCTGCTACTTACTGGAATACAAATCTCTACATATAAAAAGCTAATCGTGGTTTATGGTATCTCTCGAGTTAAAAGTAATGAATAGTAACCTATAACTCCTGAGCCTGTGTTAAGTCTTTATAGAAAAATGGTAATTAAAAAAATGTTTAGTACAGTTGCGAATCGGTTCACTGATCTGCTATACACGTGTTAATGATAAGCTGATCTGAAGGTCATAAATTTTAGTTGAGTAACCCATGTCTAATGTTCTTTGACGCAGCCACGCTCGTCCGCACGGGATTGTTTCGCGCCGCGCCGGGTGCCGCGCGACCTGCGACGTGTTCGATCTTCACCCCACTGCCCCGCAATGTCTGCGTCTCATTGCGATGACACATTATTTCTACTGAATTTTTTTATACCCTTATAGCACGTTTAGCACGTTAACTTTTCCAGTCCACCAGTCAACTATTGTTGACATTAGCTATTGCCGGCGACTCCGTCCGCGCCTAATTAAAAAGAACTTAATAAGCGGCCTATATGTTCTTGCATGGCAAATTTCAGCGACATCCATGCAGACGTTCTGGCTTTACCTTCTAACAAACTCCATCCTTTTATCCATCCAAACATTCACATTATTAACATACGTAAGATAAGGAATATATATGAGACTTTCAGTTATGTGGCAGTTAGTGAGTAGCCCTCAAATTTTGAAAGTTGATTAATGTTGTAGTGTCACGTGCGAGACCATGTGCAGCGGCGTGTCACGTCGGCCTTGCTCTTACGTGACGGCGCACAGGTGGCCCAGTGCCCACAGCTCATTGGTAACGATATTAGGTAGACACGCAATAACTTCATGTGTTAATTTAAGTTCGGTTGTAACCGGCTGAATGTAAGTTGTTTTGTATGTATGTAACTTCAATTTTCTTTCTCTCCGGATGCACGTTGCACGAATGACTCGGCTCACCCGGTGCGACGGCCATACAGAAGACAGACGTGAAATGGAAATTATTTCGCGGTTAGTTGGGAGGCCTAATTTTAGTCCTTTTTCCATTTTCAGTCTTTCCTTTGGCCAAAAGAAAGGGGTGGGATTTATTTATTTGTCAAGATGGCATTTACAAATTCATGTAGAACCAGTGTGCAATAAAATTGTTGACAGAGGATACAAGCAACTCATACAATTCCTCTAAGAGTTGATATATTATAGTGTATGTAATTGAAACGTTAAGTTTTTTTGAGATTTTATCCTAATCTTAAAAGAACGTCGTCAATATCTCAATCGCCGTAAATGAATTGTTTAAATCAGCATTACTAGAAGAATCCTTTCCCTTAACTATTTCCGTGTCACGTTTAAAAGGCTTGTAAAATTCCCAGATCCTTTAAAACGTGATAATAAAACCCACGTGCCCAAAGCATTAGGCGACGACTGCGTAAAAAATGATATTAGGATTATTCTTAATAAAAACTTCGTCAATATTAATCACGTAATCCTATAACCTTTACGTATCAACGTGCCATTTTTCTATAGAAATGTTCAATGAGGTCGTAAACGTGCCGTCAAATAATTTAGAATTTGTGATTTAGGAACATTTCGCAGTTTTTGTGCATAACGTATTTTGTTACAGTGACGTACCCAAATTATTATGTTCGTCGTTTCGCCATTCCTGGCATATAATATTAGTTTTTACTTAGAAAAAGAAATGCAACCTTACATGATTCATGCACGTCATGTAAGGAGGAAGCAATGTATGGATGTTCTGGGAGGGAGATGTCACACGTGCGGGGTAATTCCCGTTGGGACATTCGGCCTACCGGTCTATCTAGTCATTGTTGTTTCCATTGGAACTTTATTTTATTGGAAATGAAAAAAAGCAATAGTAATTAAAATATATTTATTTGGTTTTAACTTTTGGTTACGGAAACGAATGTCAGATTGATATTGTCTGCGTATTTTTTTTTAATTTATTCATTGTTTTCATCTTTGATGAGTCTGCGCAGAATACTGAGGTAGTTTTACTATAATACATTAAATGTAAGCAGTTTTTTTTTATAAATACTTAATCAAAATTTTGTAAGAAATGTTTTCCAATGGTATTACTTTCATAGTGATTTAGTAAAAAATCTATAGTGTTTTTCAATGTATTATTTTTGTCTTCTAATTTTTTGTTGATTTTCTTCAAATTGCCGATCGTTGTTGACTGATCTTGTATAATTTTTCGACATTTTTTTAATTTATCTTGTAAATATTCTACATTAAGCAATTCTGGAAGGGTTTCGTTTTCTGATGTGGATGTCGACGGACTACTGGGTGGCACGTCGTGATCGTCACAACTCGTACGTTCTGAGTCAACAACTACTTCGGTTTCTAACTCCTGTAGTTTAGTCTTCTGAATCTGTATAATTAAAATAAAAAGATAGCAATGAAAAAATCCTAACATTTGATGTTCGTTTATAATTAAATCATATTAATATATTTACCTTATAACGTGTTCTTGATTTTTTTCTAACGGTTAACTCTCCAGGTGGAATGGACTGAATCTGTGTTAAAAAAAATAATAATATTATCAAAGCTCTATTAAAAAAATTATAATATCAAATTTCAAAAATACCAGAAAATCATCCATTAAGAATAAGAATAAATTACACAACGTTAGCGAAAAATGGCTATCAGCTACATTAAAAAAAGAAACAAAATACCTTAAACTTCGGCACTGCTGTTTTATCCAATCTGCGACGTTCTGTATTTCCAATAATATCTTTCGAATCGAAGTGTTCTGAACATATTACAGAGTTTTTTGTAGGCCTATAGAATTCCTCCGATCTTTCAGTAGCAACTATGGCGACCCATTTAGCAGCTCGGTATGGATTGTTAGGGAAGCTAAAACAAAAAAAAACAAAATCACAGCACCAGGGGCAGAGTTACGCTGTAACACATAAAAAAACGGATGAATTGATAACCTCTTTCTTTTTGAAGTCGGCTTAAATACTTGGTCAAATAAATGTACAACGGGAGTTATTCTGTAAGTCATAAAAAGGTACGAAAATAGTTAATATACCAGATTATGTATGTTTCCGTAAAGGCCTGAACTAAGGTGAATGCCAGGACTTACAGGTAAAACCCAAGATAATAGTTATGTTATAAGTCCAAAAAATTATATGATCTTTGTTTATTAGGAGCATTGCGTTTGTTCATTTGTAGCTAAAAAAAACTACGAAGTTAACGAAATTACTCTTAAAAATTAAAGTTTTGCGTGTTATCTTGTTTACCGTAAATCCTTCTAATATGTAACAAAGAAAAATACTGCAAGAGGTTAATTAATAATAGAATTTTTCTGCCAACCAACGTCTTTATAATTTTCGAACGTTTTAGAATTGACAGTTGACGTTGACAATGACACAGCAATGTCAAATAACAGAATGTCAAACAGTTATTACAAAACAAATTAATAACAAACCCGAATCTGTAGATTTCTTTTCATTGTAACGTGTTATATGGACAGAATATTAAAAAGTCTGTTAAAGCGCTCCTACGTTTTAGATATAACCTCAAAATAATTCTATTGGCTCAATAATTAGATAAAGAAATCTGTTATCTTAACTCATATTTTCGCGTGGTAAAGGAACATTGGACATTGGCCTGTTTAAGTATTACAACAATTAATAAAAGAGATATAAATCTTGTACTTGCCGAAAATATGATATTCCGTCAGCCAATTTACATTTTCGATAATTATTTCTACAATTTCTAAACGCGCATTGTGGCATGTTGACATTGGCGTGTTCGAGGCCAAACTAATTGAAAATAAGCTCTCACGTAGTTGTCAAGCGATATTTGTAGTCATTATTGTACCCTTGCCTTGCCTAAAGATAGGGTTATCTAGTTTTACTAATCATTTTTTTGACATGTGTATATAAGAGTTCAAAGTAAGCAGCCATATATATTTTCACCATTATTTTAATCACCTTAAACAAACTCCCTCCATAATATATTATTCTATGTATTATATAAGTGAACTTTGTAATTTTATATAAATGTTAACCTTAAAAAAAGAAATGAATAGTAATTTGTGAAATAAAACTGTTACTTTAAGTTACCCACTAATATCAGGTTGTAAGGACTTTTATTAACAAAATATGAGATTTCCTTCAAATAAAATAATAAAAAATCATAACATATAGTTTTTTTCAGCTTTGACTTAATTGTATGACAAGACATCCGTTCCACACCTGTAATAATTGATTTTTAAACTATACATGTAATTTTTAGCTTCAAGAATAACTCTTAAGTTCCTTTAGAGTTGACATTATAATTTTTAAAGAATACTTACTACAAAAGTCAAGCATTTTAGGGATTCCTTTTTTTTACAGATTCGCTACTTGAATACTTGAATAACAGCATCTTTTTGTGGTTTTTTCATACATTTTATTACTTGTGTTGAGACACCAAGGCCACCTGGGTAATATAAAATGTGCCAAAATGAAAGATGGGAGCCTAGAGCAGCAATAGTTAGAGATGTCAAAGAAATCTAATACACTGGCATTATTAGTACATTAAACATTTTTATAAATCAATATATATATATTCATTTAAAGTTGTTGCATGCTTGCATGGATGCATTTTACATTTAATCAAAGCGATTAAAGTAGTAAATTCGGGATACAAATTATGAACTTTTGAAATCATAATGAAATCCCGCCGAAAAAATGAAAGATAAACAAAGAGCAGTGTTATCAGCTTAAAAAATATGTTTCCTTTACCCTTTCAAAAGACTAATACAAGTTCTTTAATTAAATAAACGCCCTAGGTAGCTATACTATATATAGTATAGGGTGCGCCATAGTGCAGAAAAAAATGTTATAGCCACTTAATAGAAGTAGTTTAAAATGCTTGAATAAATTGAAAAATGAAATTAGTTCGTTCGAAGGAGATGGAATGGTTGCAGTATTAATGAAAGTTGTGGCGGTTTTTATATTTTGAGTACGCTATTAAGAATGAGTGATATCATTTAACCTAATTAAGTAGGTATTTAATACACGAGTCTAATCTACTTAACAAAAGACAGAAATTCTTTATTTTTGAAATTTTTGAATCAAAAAATTGCATTTTGCAAAATTTTATAAGAAATAAGTGGCAACATTTGCATCCATGCGATCGTGTTTAAGCAGACTTTTAGTTTCTTTCTTTTACTAATTCTTTTTAATATTTCTCTTATTTTTCTAAACTTGATTGATTATGTTTTAACAAATTAGAAGAAGTCGGGAAATAAAAAAAATGTTTTCACAAGTAGTCCTTTAGTTATGGTTGGTATTAATTATTAAAACTCTTTGACTTTGGTACAATGTCAATGTAACCAAACGTTCAGCGCAATTGTCAAATCCAGATTAAGCAATTTTCTGAAAAGGCGTCTAAAGTATTGCTTTTTTTGGATATATTACTGTGGTTTATTATTTAAAAATGTTAGCTTTGATCAATCGTATCCTTGATTGGATTAAAAGCTTATTTTGGAAGGAGGAGATGGAGCTCACGCTGGTCGGGCTGCAATATTCAGGGAAAACAACTTTTGTTAACGTCATAGCCGTATGTATTTCACAAAACAATTATTTGTGTACTTTTTGCTTCCTTAAGCATTTTTTGTTCCAAACTCCAAACCTCTATCAAACTGTATGTGTCATTGTCCGGCGAACTAATCTACCATTTACTCCATACATTCTTTTTATTTTACATTACATTTCTAATTAAATATTACGTCTCACTAATTCTTAAATCAGATATGATTGATAAAATGACAGCTCATCCTAAACTTATATTTGCATAAATTACTTTTATAGCTGTAAAATTATCTCACATATATTATAATTTTATGTAAGACCTATGATATTTAAGTTTTCGTTGATATTAATATTCACTTCAGAATTTATGTAAATTTGGGATTACCATATAGGTGTGACTGAGGTGCGCTTAAATCTTAACAAATAGCAATCTGTGAACTATACCTATCTCTCTGGGTTATAGTTGTGAATGTATCTATAATATTAAATTGAAATAACATTTAACTATTGATAAAAAAAGACAAATTCATCAGACTATATTGTGCAAAAGATTTGTACAAAAACATGTAGACCTACTAATAATAAAATTGTCACATTCATTTTTCCATTCAGAACACATGTACTGAAAGAAAGAATTAGATAAAGTTCATGACTCATTCATGAGATTACACATATACACACATTGTAATTTGAAACAATAAGTGCTTTTGTTCCCAATATGTGGTAAATTATCACTCCATGTTTAAAATTTTAATATTGAATATAACAGGGGTGTTCAACAAACATAACTTTTTAATTGCTTGACCTACTGACAAAACATTGGTTAATTTTTGACAAAAATTTAAAATAACTTAAAAACCCTAAAAAGATAAAGATTCTTAAAAAAATCAGATAACTTTACAGTATTTGAATTAACTACAAGTTTATTATATATACTAGCTGTCAGCTGTGACTCCGTCTGTGCGGAATAAAAAAAATAATAAGTATCCTATGTGTTCCTTCACACTAATTTCTATATCTGTGCCAAATTCATTGAAACTCTTCCGGAGATACCTTTAAACAACCATCCATCCATCTATACTTTTGCATTTATAATATTAGTAAGATTAGATAGATAGTAAGAAGTAAGATGTAATTAAAAAGGAGTGTATAATTTTATCAATGTATACCAAAATCTTTGTTTTGTGATTTAGATATTCCAATACTGTTGTTATTAAATATTTAATCTATTTAAACTCAAATCAAATTGTTATTTTAATGCACATAAACTCCATCTGTGTCTAGGACAAGTTTTCACCTTGAATGTCTGCATGCTGGAGTTGTTGTTTTGTTTGTTCACAACAAAGATAAGCCAACATGTTTAGATAATTTAAACTATTAATTCTATAAAAAATATTTTTAGAGTTTTATAAAAATTGTACCATTATAAACACTGTATTATCATTATTGGAACTATCATCATCATCATCATAAGCTCACTATATGTCCCCATCAAGGGGCTCGGAGCCTACCCTAAGTTAAGGGTGATTAGGCCATAGTCAACCACGCTGGCCAAGTGCGGGTTGGTTGACTTCACACATATCTTTGAATTACTTCTCAGATATGTGCAGGTTGCGTCACAATGTTTTCCTTCATTGTAAGAACATCGAATAAATGTACATATGTAAATCGGAAATCGAAAAACACATTGGTACATGGCGGGATTCGAACCCAGGACCTGCAGATTGCACATCAAGTGCTTGACCACTGAGCCACCGACGCTCTTTTGGAACTATAATCTAAAGTTATCATTTTTTTATTCAGTGTGACATTTAATATATTGAATGTTTTCAGTCTGGACAGTTCAGTGAAGACATGATACCGACTGTGGGCTTCAACATGCGTAAAATTACCAAAGGAAATGTTACCATTAAGGTGAGTGTTAATATCTCTAAACCATTGCTTACTTAAATACAACAAGCCCATATGTTAGTTGTTTGTTTATTGCAGTTATGTGAACAAGATTCTTTTTCTAGTAGTAAATAAATTAAAAACTTTATGAACCTAGTTATCTATTATGAAAATGCGAAGAACAATACATATCTATTAAAACCTAAATTAATCACACTTATGTAACACTAGCTGTTGCCCGCGACTTCGTCAGCTGGGAATTAAAAAAAATAATAGCTTATCTGTTCATCCAGACTTTTTTCTATATCTGTGCTAAATTTTTAACGAGAAACAGCTGTTCTGGAGATACATTCAGTCAATCTAAACATTCACATTAATAATATTAGTAAGATTATAAATATTTTCTATTTGTGTCACTTATGTGTAACAGAAGTATTTACTATTTAATTGTCAACTTTATCCTCAGGTATGGGACATTGGTGGTCAGCCTCGGTTCCGTTCAATGTGGGAGAGGTATTGTCGAGGAGTTAATGCTATTGTGTGAGTATGCTCATAAGTTTACTCATTTGATTATCAACGTATGGTAGCAGCATCAGCTATCTTCCCGTCAAAGTACCCTCAAAATTGGTCCAGCCCTTCCGCTGATTACTTGGAACAAACGCGGCCTTGCGGACGGACAGATATACAGACAAACAGTCAAAAAATTTAAATACTGTTTATTGTTGTTTGTGTATTAGCTGGTGTTGCTGTAAATATATAAATTATTCTTTTACATAATATGTTATGTGTGTGTTGCAGCTACATGGTGGACGCGGCGGATCCGGACAAGATAGAGGCGTCGCGCAACGAGCTGCACAGCCTGCTGGAGAAGCAGCAGCTGACTGGCATTCCAGTGCTGGTGCTGGGCAACAAGCGCGACCTGCCGCACGCCCTCGACGAGCACGGCCTCATCGAGCGCATGTAACTATACATCATACACAAATTGTCTTGCGAATAGTAGCTGCCATTTTCAAGATGGCGGAGCAATTTGAACAGTTGACATGTAGTCGCTATGTCTCATCATCATCAACTCACTATACATACCCACCCAAGGGCTCGGAGCTTACCCTAAATCAAGGGTGACTAGGCCGTAGTCAACTATGCTATCCCTGTACTGACCGAATAGACGACTCCTGTTGATGGATACGGAACCCTTATAGGGTCACTTTGTGTCTGTCCATCTATCTGTCAAGACCCTTTTTCTCAAAAACGCTTGAAGGTATCAAGATGGAATTTATTTTTATAAACGGAGCTATTTGACTTTTGAATTTTCCGTACAGTTAATAAATATGATTTACAATAATAATAATGTCGACAGGAACCTCTCGGCGATTCAGGATCGCGAGATCTGTTGCTATTCTATATCGTGCAAGGAGAAGGACAACATCGACATCACGCTGCAGTGGCTCATCGCGCACAGTAAGTCCGGCAGCGCGCGCTAGTGTCGCCCGCGTCACGTCACGTCACGTCACGTCACCTCGCGTCACGTCACCTCGCCTCTACATACTTCGAGCGCAAACGATATTTTAATATCGATTTAAATATTTCAAAATTTCTCGATTCAATATTCGGTCGTTAATTTTAATTAATCGTTCTAATTTGAGTTTTCAGTACACTTGATCATCGTTTATTTGTTTCGAAACATCGATTTTGTATTTGAAATATTACTTATCGATTATACGTAATTCAGTTTGAAGCAAAGTAATTTGCAGATGTTCTGTTCATCGGCTCATCGCAGAGCCTTTCCATTTAGATATAATAGTTTACGGTAAAATATACGAAAATTATCATCTGCCACTTTGTAAGTTAAAAATAATTTTTATGTAATTTCTAAAATCACCGCTTTATTAAGATAATTAACACGGCGGTATATTTGAACATCTACTTATTCTAAATCTTAGCTTAAAATTGCATTCAATATTAATTTTTAATACGTAACAAAAGGCTAAAGATAGTTTTATAAATCTGCCTATTAGCGTTCTTGACATCGCCTTACTATTGGCGAAGGTGAATTTTGAGGTTATGATCTGTTCACAACTTTGAATAAATTGCGTACGAAATACGCTTTCTACATTTTCGCTTAGTGGCAGAATAGTCTAATAATATTGAAATTATTTAAATGAAGGCGGGTTTACTTCGTGTTGAATTACGATAGAGTTTGTCACTACTGTTATTTTCTTAAAACTTTTCGACAACGATCATGAATTTTTTGGAGTAATCATTTAATTTGGTTTAATGAATTAAGTCATATCGAAAATATTAAAAGGAAATTTGAGTTGTTAATACTCCAGAAGAAAAAGTTCTACGTAATATAGATAGATAAGTTTTTTTTTAGAAATAACAGTTGAGGCACTTTTTACTTGTAATTCAGTACGAAGTGCGTTCTAATCAATTTAGGACATAATCAAATATTAGCTTGAGTCCTCGGACTCACACGTGTGACAATATAACGTATTCGAAACTTTACAAAAAGACAGAAATACTTCGATGTGGTGCCAACAATGTGAATGACATTTATGGAAACGTAATATTGCCACATGACAAAATGTGCAACAACTGTAATGTGGCAACTGACAGATTGTCTGTGGTTGAAATGGCGCGACTTTAGACGTCACTTTGCTCTAACAGTTGCTACATAAGGCTGTTTGTACTACGTTATATCTAGATTTTCTGATAGTGTTAGCATTATATAATTATTATAATATAATTATCTCATATTGTTAGCTAAAGAATAAGTTTAAAAGATATTTAGGTGTGAGAATAGTGTTGCTCTGCATTTGCTGTACATAAGATGGCAAACACGAAATTTATATCTTGAGTTTATATAAACGTTACAGGTAAATGCCGATTTATTTGATGCGATTTCGATGTATTTTGCTTAGATATACGTTTCAGTGAAGGACTGCACTTTTGAGGTTATATTTTTTTTACTTAGCAACACTAAATATAAGTTGTTTTTTGTATTATAATAAAACGGCACCTTTTATCGGTTTTCGTTTATAGATGTTTATAAATATTATTTAAAAAGCTGTGATTAAAATTTTGTTTATACTAAAATATTAAATCTGTTTGATTTGTATTGTCTCTTTAAATTGTTTAGTGAAGGTTTTTTTGTATAAATCTGATTATATAGAAACAAGTATTGGAAATTGGAACAGATTAACATAGAGTTTATTTTGAGAAAACAAAATGTAATTAAGGCAAATAACATTAGTTGTACTTTTATATTTATTATAAATACATAAGTGGAACTAATGTTTTCTGAATCGAACCTTAAGCAATTGTTTGGTCCATACGAATTTGCAAGTAATCAATGTATTTTTTTTTTACTTTTTAATTCGATACTTTTATATGCATCGGTGCGTTCTTAACACTTGGCTGTAACATATTTATCCGTTTTTTTTCTACGATAAAGACACAAATAATTATTTAGTGGTGATGAAAAAATTATTAAATTGTGTTAAAAAACGCATTTCTTTTTGCTTTTCCTACCTTTGTATCCCTAGCATTTACACGGGTGCTTTTTTACACTGCTTAAAAATCCATCTGCCAGTGCTCAAAATGCAACATAAGGTAAAATAAAGTCGCGTTTTACAAGCGTTACGATATGAACTTATACATTGATACTGGTTTATTCTATTTGAACGCGTTTTAACGCTACGTAAAAAAACGGCCGTGTGAATGAGAGCTTAGATTTGTCATATATCTGAGTCTGGAACAGTTTGATGACCACAGAGGAAATGGCTGATCTAAATTTATAGCGTTATTAGTGTGTATTAATTAAACCAGTACATTTAAAAAACTTTTTAATAAAAATTGTGTACCATTTTAAAATGATTACAAAATATTAGTCATAGGATCATAATTGCTTATTAAAATTACAATTCATATGAGACTATAATATTATCCATTGGGTTTCTTTGCATGTCTTCTTACAATTTTACATATGTCATCATTTTTCATTCATCATCAGCTCACTATACGTCCCCACCGAGGGGTTCGGAGCCTACCCTAAGTTAAGGGTGATTAGGCCATAGTCAACCACGCTGGCCAAGTGCGGGTTGGTTGACTTCACACATATCTTTGAATTTCTTCTCAGATATGTGCAGGTTGCATCACGATGTTTTCCTTCACCGTAAGAACGTCGGATAAATGTACATATGTAAATCGGAAATGGAAATACACATTGGTACAATGTCAAAGTCAAGTACTTGACCCCTGAGCCATCGGCATCATTTTACATATACAGAAAAATATATAAAACAATTCGACAAGTCGCGATTCATAACATAAAATATATGAATATTTAAAAAATTATTAACGCTACGTTGTAATAAAAGGATTGATTTAAAATATACATAGTTAAAGAGCCATTGAAAATAAAAGCTATGGAAAAGAAATTGAATTAATTCGTACGGTTCAACTCCATCAGTCTTAATTTTATATAGTTTTTAGTGGTACTTATATGTTTGCACTTAACTGTTGAAAAGTGTTCCTAAAGATTTTATTACTCCATTGCTGAGGCGTAATATTTATTATTATTATTGAAAAAAGTGGAAAAAAGAAGGTATTCGTCGAAAGATAAGAAAAATACGCATAGGTTTTTGTGTTAAAATCTTAGTAACATCATATTATATTTCAATCTCGAAGCGTCAATAGCCTAATGGTTAAGGGTACGGATTTCCGACCACGAGGTCGTGGGTTCGAATCCCGCCATTCGACTATTGTCGTAAACCATATCCTAGCACAAGCTTAGAAGCTTAGTTGGAATGGTTAAAGAAATATTAGTAAACTTACAAAAAAATCTGCTAATATTTAAAAAAAAAAAATCTCGGTTTTATTACTATTCACTATACTATCTCATTTTATAACAATGATCATATCATCTTTTAATATTGAGGTTAAAAAATATATTTAAAATGCATTGAATTCTATGTATCTTCTTAATATTGTATGCGTTTACAAGCTCGAAGAGATCCTAAAATCTAGTTGATTACATTCTTAGACTAATTTCCATGAAATTCTTAATCTAAAATAAAATGAGAGCTTCAGAGTCAATTTGTGGGACAGTGTTTATGTTGCCGTTTAACATTACGTCAACAGGCGCTTGAACATTCGTTTCATACATTACTTTGATTTCTTTCTGAGGTTCTTTTCTAGACTGTTCGTAAGCCATCTCCAATTTGATCAACCTTGCCTCTTGTTGGTCCATCTTCTGCGTTAGTAAATCGAGCTTGCATATTATAGATTTCAGTAGGGCAGCTTGACCGTCGTCCATCTGAGAGTTTTGCGAGTTCCCTTGCTCCTGACTACTCGTGTTAGAAGTGACGGAGGAACTTGTGGACGATTTGGTCTGGACAGCGGGCGGAAGAGACGTACTATGACTCTGGTACATTTCGGACCTTTTGAACTGCAGAATTTCGTCAGCTTCGAGTAAGGCGAATATTGTTTTGTCGACGTCATTTGCTCGGGCGCTGACGAGAACCCCCTTCAACTTTTCAGTATACAGCTTCTGGTTTGCCGGATCTAAGCTCCCAATGAGGTTGTTTTTCGAATTCCAGAAGTATGGTATGTTCTTCTTTTCCAGGGCGTCGTGAAAGTCTTGCAGCATGGTGGTGAAGAGGAAGCTCAGATTATTCTGCCAGAATTGTTTTTTTTCTTTCTCCACTTTCCAGAGGAACAACGTCTTGATGTAGTAGCTGGCGATGGCCTTCATCTTCAGTGCGGTGCGCAGCTTCTTCATCTATAAGAAATTATGTATATTTTGTGGAATTTAAGCTAATTTAAATGAGGTCAATTTAATAAGAGACTAAGAAGCACATACCAGCCTAAGGACCTTCTTGAGGTGATGGCACTCCTTGATCAGATCGCGCTCGTGGTCCTGGAAGGAGAGGCGCCAGCAGCGGCCGCGCGCGGCGCCGCTCGCCTCCTTGTTGGGCTTGGGCACCACGAGCCAGTCCCGGCACAAGGACACCTTCTCTATTTTTCTATCATCATAACACCACTTATTCGCTATTTTATATGTTTTTCAATACGAATTAATTGTTAGGTTATAAGTTTTGAAATTCAAATAAATGATTTTTGTTTAAATGTAATCAAATCAGTCATTTTTTACCAACAAAAAAGGAAGTAAGTAAAGAAATATATAATAAATGCGCTTTGTGATAAAAACTTGTTAGTAACAGTTGTAATAAAAGTTTAATACAATGTATGATGAAGAATTCCTGTGGGTAATTCCCCGCTGTTGTGTATGTTCAGGAAGTAGCAATCTATTATCAATGTGCATAATTTGTTAATACATTTTACATGAATGGGCAGACTCGACCAGGGAAAATCACAACCACAAGAGACAGGCGTGAAGTGGAAGCATTTCCGCGTTTCGTCTGAGTTTTCTTATAAGAAAGGGATGGCAGTGTAAAAAGGGAAAAGATTCTCTTTCTCGTCCCCTCCTCTGTCGATTAAAGGTAGTCAATGCATCTGCAGACGCAACAATGCTATGGATAACAATCACGTCATTATTTTGTAATGTTCAAGTAGCTACTTGCTTGTTAACCAACTTTCTACAAAATACGATATTTCTATATTTTCATCATTGTAATTTAAATAAGTATGTAATGAAATTAATATCGATTTTGAAAATCCTTAAAATCAAATATTAGATTCTTTGGGCTTTGAGTTCCGTACCAAAGTACATAATAAAAAAGTATATGTCAACTATGCCAATTGAGTTTATCTGTATTGTGTTACCTAATGACAATTATAATTAATTATTTAATTACTATAAAGTATCGAGTTATTGTAGAAGTACTTATGATAACCTTTTAAAATGGCTATATTAGTGACCATGTAAAAGCAGTATTTCCCAAATTTTGCAGAACCCACCTGTAGCCCTTAGGCCATCTTGGAAGCCTGAATCTGATAACGGGCACCAAGTCTACATCTAGTTTGAATTCCTTGTCATTCTCTTCATTTCTTATGAACACAGTGTACGCAGGACCTGACTCCTTGTATGTCATTAGATATGTGGTGCCATTGACGGTCACGCGGCCATTCATTTCGTTAAGTGCCTTTTGCACTATTCCATGCATCCAGCTACGAAATTTGTTCTGCAAGAGATACTTGTCACCATCCCTCCAGTCTCTGGTCACTTTATGGCACTGCTCCCACTCCTTTTGTTTGTCTAGGTTATCAAAGGCGCTCATTATCTTTAGCCTCACAAAGCCTGGCTGGTCGCACTCTATGATAATGTCATCATAGTTGATGGGCAGACGGATTACTATGTCCATGTCAAACTCATCCATTTTTGTAGCTTTAGTTCCATCATACACGCTACCACCATACATGACCTGTGTAAAAGAATAATGTAGGTTGGAAATGTCAATAATGTCATGCGACAAATTATTTTGGGCATGTTATCGTCACATCTCATGTATTATGAAAAGTGTGAGAGTTTGAAATGTTAAAAGTGAACACAAGTCATTCCCATTCTTCATATATTTCCAATAATCACAAAGTCAAAATTAAAAGCACATTATATGAAAAGGTTCACCATCTCTGGTATAGATATAAAGAATTCATAACATCAAAACTGTATCTTTTCTTTTTTATTGTTTTCCAGAATGATATAACAAAAAGGATAAATTACCTATCACTACCTAAATTATTATAATAGCAAGAAAGTAAAAAGGCGAAAGGGAATGGCCATTTTTTCTTCTCATTTGAAATAACTTCTTTAAATCACAACACAACAATAGATAAAACATTTTTTATCACTTTTAAATTATCATTATTGTCTTAATTGATGGACCTTGGACAAAGCTAATTTGAAATATTTGAAAAACATTACCTGATTACTGTATTTTTTAAAGTAGTTGCATTGTTCACCCATCTTCTGTTTGATTTGTTCAAAAACACTTTTAAAGACCTCCTGAGCCCGGCTAAAGTCATCATCTTTGATGGCAATAAACTGTTTGAATACTTCCTCCAAGTAAACATCTAAGGTTTTCTTTTTAACTGACATCTCTGGCAAAACTATAAAACATAATTGTTATCATTTTGTTAGTTATAATATTTTAAAAATTAGATATGTTATGATAATTGGCTTTAGATCCTATAAACTAAGAGTGTGCTCTAATTTTTTTTTTTCTCCTGGACGATGTATAAAAATTAAAAAAAAATAGATATACCTGTTTATTTACTGTTAAGAAATAATGTTACAGTTCGTTTGCTTGCGTTAACACGATTCTTGCAAAAGTTTGAACTGTAATGTAAGCGCAGAACAATCGCAGTGCCTATTTACGGTCATACAAACGGAATACCCGCCCGGTTTTGTAGTTGTTAATACCAAGAAAATATTAACATTATTATGGGTTACAATAGCTTTTACTTTGCCAAAAAATAGCGATAAGGATAAACCCTGCCATAGACTTTGACAGCATTTGTCAGTCGGAGCACAGACTATACAATTTTTTTTTTCAAGATCTGTTATACTCTGTCTATTTAAGATATTTATAGATTATTTTGACAACTGACGCCTATAAAGTATCGAATTAATGTTGTACTTTTTGGACGGTTCTCATAGTGTCGACCATACACACATTATGAGCAACTATGATATATTGAGAATCGATCTTGTCATAATATTAATGCAACAAATAAATACTATAACTTAAGTATTTTATTACTTTTCGAATTTACTACATACATTTAACGAGGTCTCGTGCAATTAATTAAAAAAGATTAAGAACAGTACTTTTTGTTTCTCAACATCTCAATGTTTGGTTTATAATTTTATTTTTCTTCGTAGTTTTGAAGAATAAAGTTGGGATAAAAAGAAACAATTTCTTTTATATTATAAATCACAAACAATAATCACGAAGTTTTCGATTGTAAGGTCCATGAGAACTGAGAACAACCATCGAAAACCGAAAATGTTCATAACCGATTTTAATCAACCCATCTCTAGTGAATTGTCAAACTAATCTATCTTATACAAATATAAATAAAGAGATAATAGATTTATAAATAGACACACTATGAAAACTAAATGCAATAGAAGCGCCTCTCATCGGATTTTGTAATGATTAGTTAGTGCACACCAACTATTTTATATACCCTTTGGTTCACACTTCATTAACAATCCGGTAGGGATGGATGTTGTATTCGTTTAACTTAGTATCGAACCTTCGTTTTGTTTTTGATTTACAATAAAAATAAAATTTGGCTTAAAGGTCCATAAAATTTTTAGCCCAAAAATTAAAGTGCTGACAATTTGTTCTTTATCAGCGCCAAAATGGCGATAATCAAACAGGCACAAAAGACCGCAGCTAATAACCTATGCATGTATTTAGGTCAGTGCGTTTTACCTTAAAGTTCTTAGTTATTTCCACAAAGAATAGAAGTACAATGACAGTTGGCCGTCATTATTTTAAGGATCTGTCAGATATTGTTTTTATGTTACATATTTGATTTTAAATGTATTAAATATGATATGCGTTGAATAGTCACATTTTCACATCATGGATTTCCCCTCAAAGGTAAAAACTCCTAATTGAATTTCTAAAGGACATGACGTCGAAGGCGCATGCCGGATGTAAACATGTCAAACTGGTGAAGGTAGGAGGTACATAGCTCCACGACAGGGTTTGAAATAGATACACAACTCTTTTTAATGTTACAGCAGAGGTCTACTTCTTTTTCTCCTTCGCATGTGGCTGTACCATTAACTTTGTGGCGCCACTTTATTTGGATATCACATAACTTTATACATTGTAGAGTTTTCACCAGCAGCGTAGATCGTTAAGCGCTATACAACGTAAATAAGCACTAAATAATGCTAAGATAGTGGACAAAACGAAAGTTAGACTCAATTTTTAGTAAAGGGTTGATGGCTGACCGCGACAATCCAGTGGTGCCGTTCGCCGCGGGCTTCGTGCTCGGCGCCTTGGTGACTGTCCTCGGTTACAAGCTGTTCTCCAGATGCCCGCCCGGGCAGACACACCAGGTCGGCGCGATGGTCAAGTGCACCTGCAAGAAAGGAAGTAAAGAAGAGGTACGTGGTAATCCTACAAAATACTTTGGGGTCCTGATGGGGCTTCTAACGATTAAAGTCTATTTTTTCATGGATATCATCAGCACAAACCTTACGACATTTAGATACTGTTATTGACATTATTACAACCAAAGGTACATATTATATCTATCTTTTTTCAAACAATGCTTAATGAATTTTGTTTTTGCTTTAGTGCAAGATGCATTGCATACGCGGTGACCACAAATGTTCCTGAACTCCATGACACGCATTAAAGATAAAGAAATAATCCGGCTGTTTATGTTCTGCCAAAATTATGTCACTCAACTGTCAACGCTTTCCCAACATCTGTCAAATTAAAATGTGTTCGTGAAAACTGTTTTATTACATCCCTTAACAATGAATAATGGGTAAAGGCATACATTTCGACAACTACATAAACTAAGCTCTACTGTTCCACTATGTGCGATTGGTAAGTGTTGAATAGACGTATTTCTCTGCGGCTCACTAAAATGTTTGATACGATCGCAAAAGCCATGTTTATAAGTAAATTTAGTAGGTTGATGGGTGGCCGGGTACGACCCAATACAATAAGTTAAGGCTCTACTGGCTCTACAGTACATGCGGTTCGATTTATAAAGTTTTAAAATCGATACTCGTGAAGAACTTCACAAATCGTACCATAAAACGTATTAAGTTGCTAGAAATTATTATTTATCCACTTTTAGGAGGTTATAATATATAATAATACGTGGTAAATTTTTACTACGCCTTTGAGAAATTTTTAGACATTAAAAACATAACATAGATTTTGTTTTCCCCTATGTTGTCTATGGCACACATGTAATATATTATATATAAGAATTTTGTTTTGAGTTTATTAAAGGGTTAGGTTGTATCAGTTCTTGGAGCGATTGATTTGGAAGGGTTTTGCTGCGTTTGTATTGTTTGCCAGTGCCGAGGAACAACAGAGGCAAGCGGAGAAACGCGCGGAACAGAGTGGGTCGCGGGCGCGCAGTGGGGCGAGGGGCGCGAACGTGCCGGCCGAGGGCGCGGCCTGCTACACCGAGGAGCGGTCCGGCTGCCGGTTCTTCACGTGCGGGCTGTGGGCGGGCGGTGCGGCCGGCGCGGGCGGCTGGCTACCTTACGCAGGCTCCGCGCTGCTGCTCGCCCTCATGGCCTATATGCTGCGGAACGTGCGCAAACACGTCGACAAGTTTCCCAAATTGCCCAAAATGGGCAATCTGTTTGGAACGTCTAAAACAGTAGCGTCCGGAGCGAAGAAAAGCTTTCAATGCGACTATAGTAAATGAGGCTACTTGTACGAAAATTGTGGCTATACAGAAATCTTATCGTGGCTATTTTGAACTTTCAGTTTTTAAAAATATACCAATAGTTACTGTTGTATTATAATTTCAATTTTATTTTAATTTAACTTTTATATCAAAAAGTACACCAATTCGTAATAATCAGAATTGTAGTACTCATTAAAGTTAAATAACAACTCTGATGCCCTGGGTATTAGGAAATAGCGCTTTATGACTATCATCCTTCAATAGAAAACTGGTTCATAAAATTTGTAATTACCACCGGTAAAGGCGGCGAAAAGGGGTTTAAGATGTGCCGTGACGAAGTAAATAAAACATTTGTTATGAAATATGTTTATTAAATTAAACATGTACATTTATAACTTCTACATTTAGAACAGTGTGTTAACACAATTCCTTGTACAACGTTCGAAGACGACCGATTTTGCGTCGACAAAGGTTAGTCTTGTGTCTTCAAAGCAAAACTTCGTTTTTGAATAGATCTGAAAAATAAAATGTTCATGTTTATGTGAACTCAAGACAAATGAAATAAGAATAATAAGTAAATGTAGATTTTGCTTGATGTTACAGTCGCGACGTTAGTGACCGAAGCTATTATCTTGTGAATGCGGTAGTAACCACACAACTGCTACATTTCTTCTTCAACTTGTGACACCCCAATTTGATACCCACTATCGTATACCCCCGCTGGGCCTCGCGAGCACACTACAAAGTTCATATGGACCACACATTACTATAGTAAGGTCACTGTCCCGATGAGCAATATTTTGTTATATATATTATCAACTTGATTTTGTAGAATGTAAGACCGAGCAGAGCGAAAATAGTGCTAGACATATACCAGAGATTTCCAATGCAGTCCGCATGAAATCTGTAGGGTGCACGGAAGATCCAGCGAAAGCATTCGCTTGGTGGGAATAAAATTGGGGGTGTCACAAATTGAAAAAGAAATGTAACAGCAGGGGGTTCAGTGAGACCAGTAAACTTTTAAAAGATCACTGTGCTGCTTTGTGGAATTACTGAGTAGTTTCTAAAGAACACCAAAATATGAAGATCCAAAATGAAGACTGAGGTATACGACTTGAGCTAATATCGAATATCTTGTGCATGCGGCAGTAGGACCACGCAGCGTGCACAAGATACCCGACACCAGCATACGTCTGCTTCTTCTCCCTTCTTCAAGGTTCATCTTCTTTCTTCTCCATTCTTCTTTTTTGGGCTGTTTGAAATGTTTGTACATATTACGCGAGAAATAAGAAGTAAGAACTAATAGGAATTTGATAAGTACATACCTCCAGCGTGCTACATCTTCCAAAGCGAGATGTCGACAATGCTGTGAAGTCGCTGAATATGCGTCAGGACAATGGGTGGCGATGTGAAGCTCCTCCTTCTTTTGCATGGCAGTATGCTAAACAAAATAAAATAAATATTAAATTAACAATGTTGTTTCTACGTAAACATTTATGACAGTTAAAACAAAAGTTATCATCGTTGCCATTGGACATTCATCACCAGATGATTTGCAGATGCACCGCCTGACGCTCGCTTCTTGAAGGACTCAATGTCGCACTGGTTTGGAAATTACTTGACAGGAAAATCACACTTTTTTCTTATTCAAGCCTTGAATGACTTTATTTTCTGGAGTCGAATGCTGCTGTTAAGCAACGACAATTTTTTTTGCTATGGCAGATGTTCCGTCATAGCAAAAAATATTGTAGATGCTAATATTTGAAATGTGTTGTCTGTACACACAATATTCTTTTCTCGGGGAGGTCGAAAATTCTGGCAAGATGTCAGGGTGGATGTTGAGCGACATGAGATAGTAGTGAATATCTTGTGCATGCGGCAGTGACACGCGGCCTGCACGAGATACCCGACACCAGCACACGTCTGTGGTCTTCATATTCTTTTCTCATCTTGAAATGAAACTTTCATATACCAGTCTTACTGATAAAAAATGTTACACTGAAAAAAAAAAACATTGTCGTAGCCTCTGTAATTCAAATTATAAAAACATTCGCATTTATTGCCAAACTATTATTACTAGATTACTTACATACAGTATTGAGTAGAACACACAAGGCTGCAAGCAGCGCGCGTAGTTTGCTATAGCTATACAGGCAGCTGCATATGTAAAATTACAAACTTTACAAATTTTTACAGTTCCTCGGTTTCCAACACATATATCTACGTCTCCGTCCGTATGCTGCCTCCTACAGAAAATACAAAATGTTATTGGATATCTGCTTACATATTTTGAAAAACCATGGACTCCAAAAATGTCGAAAGTTTTGTAGGTGTAGACATATTTATACAGCTGACCGTACCGCTACCGGTGGAAACAAACTTCTTATGTCGTCCTCGCCCATATTTGAAGACTCGTAGTAACTTGCATCAGTCGTCAGCCGCCGATAGCGACAGGAACTAGTATTGAATATCTTGTGCATGCGGCAGTGACACGCGGCCTGCACAAGATATCCGACACCGGCACCGGTCTTGGTTCCCTCATGCCCAGGATATCATTGTCACAATGAATGATTCGACAAAATACTATCAAGAACAAAGTCAGCAACTGTTGGTAGCAAAGTAAGAATATTATACAGAAAAAATGTCGTTTGATACGTACCTACGAGCCACGAAAAGACAGCTCCTTTCTCGCAAAAAGACTTCCATATTGTTCAATGATCGGTTTCGTTCATTTCTGGCACTTTTGAGAGCAACTCTTCGAGCGTTTTCGGTCGCCTTGTGTTTTCTGCGAACAAATTGCGAGAAATAATTATTGCTATTTATAATTGAAAGGCGCTACAAAAATATATGCAGAGTATTCCAACACAAGTTCTAAATATAGTTAACAATGGGAACCTGCTTTTAAACCATTTTTTTCTCGGTATAATATTTTACATTGTTAGGTGACTCGATCTCACAATTATGTTTCCTACGCCGTTAGACGAGTGGAGTTTGTTTACAATATTTAAGCCTTGAGTTGGAATAAGCAATACGTACCGAGTTAAGGTGTATGCCTCTAGGTTGCATCGTGTAAACTTCGTAACTCTGGGGTAGTAATGTTTTGTATATATTGTGTGGTCAGTATATTGGGAAAGGTCTACTGTAAGCAAGGGACTAGTTTGGGATGAATGATAATTTTACATGTAGACTGGTCTGTTGTGTTGTGTTGTAGAATAGAAGTGTAAAACATGAAAAATGAGAGTAGAAAACAGTACAAAAAAAGTACCTAAAAGTGATTTTTTTAACAGCTTGTGTAGAAAAAGTAAAACTGTATGTTTATGTGTGTCAAATGTCCACTAATAAGGTCATTGTTGGTGTCAAGAATCAAATGTGTAGTGTACAAAAAAGAAAAAATAAAAAAATAACAAATATTGAAACAAAATATATTTAATACCACCTTTCATTATTTTCCTTACAAATTGTAATTAAAACGCCTCAGTCGGCACAACTATGTATAACTATTGCAAATCCGGGTAATGTAAAAGACACAACCGCGATAACAAAACGTCCTAATTAAACGTTAGTGCCTTAGAACAAGGAACGTTAGGATCTATATCGTAACATAACTTCGTCGACGTAATCCGACTAGTTGGTGATGCTAGACTCTCTCAATACACCCACACACGTATTGACGACTATTTAATTTGTTAGCTTAGCGCTTTTAAAGTTTCTACTGTCATATATTTTATTTAAAATGCGCTAATACATTGAAAATAGTTTAAATAATAGATGACAAGTCTTAATAATATAACCGATTCTTTATGTTAGTACAAAAATAACAGAAGTAAACTTTAAAAACACCATCGAAATGACAAGGAGCTGAAAGAGTCTAGAATCCCCAACATATTTCGCGCGCGAAGGATTTAGATCTCTATCAAATTAATTCCTTCTTCGAATAACATTGTTTACTTGACCATAATTATAAAAATCAATAAAAAAACCGATCGATCGAAACAAATCATTCGCGCACGAATCGATTTATTTCTAAATTAATTATCAAAATAATTAGAGCTAAATGTTCTGAAACTGATATGCTTTCCGCGTAGTAACATGGCCTTACATCTAAACAGTACCCGCGGTAAGTCAGTGTTGAAACATTCGCTGGCCAAAGCGACAAAAGCTATAAGCCACCGGTCCAAGTTGTATATTCACATCATATGTTGAACATATTGTCTTGCCGAAACATTATAATTATTTTTATGCGTCATGTCCGACTACTTTTCTATACCGGGCGAAATATAATATTTTTCTGCAAACGTTTATCAGGACATTTATTAATATCGGTAAGAGGCGAGATTTTTCAATTAGCGTGTTTCCGAACTGCACGTATGGATAGTCTCATTGATCTTTGACTGCTATCAACATCTGTCACTGTCATATGGTAAAATAGCAAATAATTAGGAAAATAATTTTTAAGGAGTATTTGTCATTAATTTATTGTAATTTCCTGCATTACAATACGTTTAGAATTAAAGGCGTCGCGTTGTGACCGATGTTTGTAAGGCAAGAGAACATGTTTTCACGCGAAGTATACAACACGGACTTTGTTTGCTAGTCGCTGCCTATTGCACAATATCTACATAAACTTAACAGTGTGTCGTTCAACAGGTACATTTGACGAATATATTAAGTATATGTTATGCGAGCGTTATATCGCGCAGTTTGACAATTAATAAAACTTTTTTGTTGGCACATAACAAAAAATGCTTAATTATAAAAGGATACAATTGCGAATAAACTGTTGGGCGGTATCGAATTGGCTACCTACAATATGCAATGTTATTTTGCTGTCTTGATAAAAGTATAAATTGATACGCATACATGCTCCTAAAATTTCTTTCATGTTATTTATTTTATTTCAAAATATATGAAAGAAAAGTTTTAAAATAAATCTTAAATAAATGCTTTATATATTTGTAAAGATATTGCAAAATTATTTGCTCCTCATTAATATTTGTAGTTAGAGAAAATCGAAATCAAAACAAGTTGCTACAGATTAGGTTTGTCATAGAGTTAATAAAAAATTACACCCAAAATGAAATGTCCAAGAAGATAATAGAATAAATGTGAAAAAATTGCAAATTTATGCAAATCTTTAAAACAGAAAAATAAAATAAGAATTATTGACACAATATTTATGAGGTTGTTACAAGTACAGCATAAAGCAGAAAAAACTAAATAATTCTCGTCTGTATCAAAGTCCATTAAAACGGCTACATTTGGACGGATATGTAATTGCTCTCCCTAATATTGCTTCACCAAACTAGGACAGTAGAAGAAACAAAGTACAAGGTACTCCTTCTCAAAGTGTGTCTTAGGATTGCGTAATAAAGTTAGGTTATGTTAACACATGAAATGTTTCAACACCAATTTTTATAAAATGAATAAATACAATTATAAATATGCTTTCAGTTTGAACTATTTGTATTTGTTTGGCACTGATTTATGATTTCACATTACCATGGGTTTGCACCACCAGAAAGCATTTATTAAAACATATTGTCATTTTTCTTATTCTCCTTTAAGAAACAAATCACAATGTGTTTTTATACATGTTTTATGGTTGTGAAAACTCACAGCTACACATACTAATAGAAATATGACTTCTCAAATTATAAAATAGAATGTAAATAATATAGTAATATTTAAGTCAGTACTAGTGGTTAGTTATCTGTGGGTTTTTATGCAAATGTAAAAGAAAAATTGAAGTGGGAATTTTTCAAAGACATTCTATTAGCATATGTTGTTTTGTTTCAACTTTGATGATTCCACATAATATTTATAATTTCAATTGATTTAGTGTTTTGGAAAAATTGTATTTGAACAATAATGTAATAAAATCCGAGTAAAGTTGTTGCTTATACTACATACAACACACATTACCAATACCCTGACCATGAAAACCACGAATAATGATCGATTATGATTACCAAATTTATTTACAAAAATATATTGATTTATTTTTAAACAATATTGGATGTACATTTTGACACTGAGATGGTTTTTGAACCGCGTGTCACGCGACAGCAAATAATAATTCCAAGCCAAATTATTTTGTATAATTTGTGTATAGGAAATAGGTATGTGGATGACGATTATATCGTTAAATATTGATTATTATTTTGATTATATATTTGTACACAACGGTGACTTCAAGTGTTCCGACAGAGGTCAGAGAAAAACGAGTGGCTCATTGCTTGACGTCTATTAATATTTGACTTTAGTTTAAATATCGAGGGCCGACATGGCGCTCGAGCACTCACCAGACGGAACTCTCAGCGGCGCGTTGCAAGGACTAGACGCGCGACGCACTCATTATATATTTATAAATTTAATTTACTTTGTGAGGACGAATTCCACCAAATATATTTTAAAATTTAAGTAAAATAAGATGTTGGCGCGTCAACTACGCGTTACTTATATAACGCTCCGAAAATATAATAAAATTAAAATAATATCTAATCTAAAGTTATTTAAGTAATTAAGTTATATTTATCAGTACTTGAATAAAAATTTGTCTCCATAACCAAAATTGAATTATTATGATATTAGGTAATTTTGTATATACTGAAACACTATGTACACTTAACTGGCAAGGACTAATTTAATACTGTATAAATTATAAATATTAAAGAAACAAATTATATGTACATTATATTTTGATTATCGGAAAGTCCACCATTTTAAATTGACAATAACGTGCGCAGAGGTCCGCGGCCGCAGCCCGCACTCCCGCACTCCCACCCTCCCGCACTCCCGCACTGCGCTACGCCCTCCCAACATTCACGCTAATATATATACTTACACAATACATACCTACAACCGTTTTAGTATAATCTCATCTTTAAACCAATGAAATGCTTACGTTTACTCAGTCAAACTCAACCTAGAGGCCTCCCCCGCGAGGAGCTCGTGCCGTCGTTCTAATATATTGTCATATTCCGTCACCCGAGCGACACCAGTCTGCGCCGCCCTCCCCGCACCCCCGCACCACCGCAGCGGGCGTGTTCCTATCTCCGAATACAAGAATATATTTCAGTAAGAGCTACAGAGGGAGAGGGGAGGGGGGGCTATGACTTGTTGTCGAAGAGCGGCAGCTTGGAGCGCACGGCGCCCTCGCAGACGGTGAGGCGCGCCTGCACGCAGCGGCGGCCCCCCTCCTCCGCGGCGGCGCGGTGCTTCACGTCCACCACGTACTGGTGGTCAGCGCGCAGCCGGTACCGCGACCCCTCGCACTTGAACTCCGCGCCCTTGCGCTCGAAGTACTCCACGATGCGCGAGATCTGCGCCGACCGCGCCCCCCGTGCACCCACACCCACCACCGCGCCCCGCGGCGCCCGCTCGTCGCACACGCTGTCCGACCCCAGCGACGCCACGTCCTCCGAGCTGTCCGTGTACACGCTGGAGGCTCGCTTGCCGCCCCCCGCGCCCCCGCCACCCGCCGCG